CTCCCCTCAAAGGCCATCCGTGCAATGAGATAATGTCCTCTAAACATAACTTTTCGTGAGCCCACAAGCCTAATTGGTGAAAACCCGAAATTTTTTAGAGACCTTTTTCTTGAAAATTCCAACTCCATGGATTTCCTCTCAGTCGCACGATTCCATTGGTACCTTCGTCCCCCTCAAAGGCCATCCGAGCAATGAGATGATGCCCTATAAACCGAACTTTTCGTGAGCCCACAAGCCTATTTGGTAAAAACAGACATTTCAACTTCCTGGCATTCCTCTCAGTCACACGATTCCATTGGCACCTTCGTCCCCCTCAAAGGCCATCAGTGATGATGATCTCTAAACCGAACTTTTTCGTGAGCCCACAAGCCTAATTGTTGAAAAAATGAGAGGCGGAACTGGGTGAAGGGTCAGGGTTGTTCAACGACGGTGGAGGCGAGAGGGGAGAAAATGAGTGTGGTTTGAAGTAGACGAGTGGGGTTAGGTTTCGTTTGGTCCCTTCTCATATACCTTACAAATTTGGCAAGCAATTAATATAATCATGTCCATCAAAATCTACTAAGAGTATAAGTCCATTGCTTATTTATCCACCAACATATTTGATACTTAAATAACTCCTCCACCCAACAGCCATACTCGTTGGACGGGAGGAATTAAATGAGAGAGAGAGAGAGGGAGGGGAGAGAGTTGTGCGGCGCATTAGCTTTTAGGAAAATCTGGGTCAGGGCTTCTAGTTAGACTGTATAGAATAAGCCCTTATGGAATGGCTAAAGTTAATCTGCTAACTTGAAAATTCGTTAGCAGATACTAACTGATATCCAAAATACACTAATTAGTATCCAAGTACTAAAGTATCTAGAGAGCACAGACTAGTATTCAAAATTTACTAACTGATATCCACCATGAATCAACTATTATCCCAAATTTACAAACTAATATATAGACAACACATAATAGTATCCATACAACACATAATTAGTATCCAGATAACACATAAGAGTATCCAAATAACACATAAAAGTATCCATATTGAATACGAGTTGGTTGATTGTGGATATTAGTTGGTATCTGCTATTTGGATACTAGTTTGTGATGTTTTGAATACTACTCTGTGCTATCTAGATACTCAGCAGACTTGGATATTAGTCATACATTTTGGATATTAGTTAGTATATACTAACGAATTTTCAAGTTAGCAGAATAACTAGGTTGTTAAGGAATTGGGCTTGGGTATTAGTGTGGCCTGTGGGTTGTGGGTAGCTGTAGGGTTTTATGACTTTTTCAATAGAAGTTGTCGGGTTAATTTGAAAATATAATATGGTACTTATAAATATATTACATTTCAGTTATCAATTTATCAAATTGCTACAATATATGCATATAATTACATTTCAGTTTTTTCAATGAGTTGTTAGTTGCAAGAAATAAGATTAGAGATTTACCCAAATGCCATATTGTATGTCCACGGACCAGGAATTTTAGAATTATTCCAGCAAGAAATTATCATGTTGAGGATTTCTTTTCATGTAGGACCTTAAATAAGTAGTTTCAATCGCTCCCTCTCTGCATTTGGCTCTATTCATAGTTGGACGGAGTTTTCTTTCCGTATTAGGAGTGGTCGTTTGATTTTCTGCAGAATGATGGATATGATGATGATGAGTTACTCTTGAAAGATATTTTTAATACGTAGCTAAGTGGAGTTTTCATTTTATCAACCACTGTAGATGCATTATGTGATCAAATTCCTAGTTCCTCCGCAGAAGCAAATCTTTCCTACTTGCTTCTACTTTGTTCATAGGCACGAATGAGTTGATCATCTTCTTGAGATTCTTTTGATGTTATATATCCCTTTCTACATGGGCCCTATTCATGTTTTTCACGTGTCCTGGTCATGTCATTAATGTTGTAAGCACTATTCATGTCTCCTCGAAGCGGTGAAATGTGAGTAGTTTATCAGTGATTGTTGAATTTGTCATTTACGCATGAATAACGTGCTTTCTAACAGTACCGTTACTATTGAGAGATGCTTTTATCTGAAGGTAGGTCTAATTAATGTTGTTGCCATTTTAGTTTTGTTCATATGCTTGGTTCATGTGAATGACTGAAGGAGCTTTGGTCCATATTGGAATTTTATGTTACCCTACTAGGGATATTGACTTGAAAAAGCTTTTGAATACATTAAGCTACAGACTTTCGTATTCTCAAGAAAAAACAATGGTTCTAAGGTGCGACTATATTATAAGTTCGTTGACACTACGACAATTAATCATGTATTGTATAGACTAGTACGAGGTGAACTCTCGTCATGATTTTGGCTAATTGGTGGTTTGGGGATTGAAGCATCCCCCAAGAGACTGACCACTACGAGACTATTTGCAGGTACCCCAAGGAATTTGGGAGGGATATATTTGTATGAATTGGATCGTAAAGAATCACTTGATGTTCATTCAACCTGTATACTTAAGAATAGATGCAATTTGTATACCCAAAAAATTGATAATATCACGATAATTAAGAAAATATGTTGTACATCACGAATAGATGCAAGATAGCAAGATATATTGCCGCGAGATACATAAATATCACGACATTTAAAATTATCGCGATTAAGTTTAAATATCATAGTTTTAACATTACCATGTGGTGGTTTTAACATTACCATGTGGTAAATAGAAATATATCGCGATATATTTTATTTATCTCGAGATTTTCGGCTTATCGCGGTGCGCTGCTGTATCGCGATATTTATTGAAAACTGCGAGATGACGAAACTAATTGCGAGACAGACGAGTGAAACGTCAAAACTCGAAAGATTTCAAATTCTGAAAAACCAAACCGAAATGCGAGAAATTGACGAGATATCATGAGATGACGATATATCGTGATATTTTGACTTTTTACGATATATTGACTGATTGTAAATGGGCCCCTGTATTGATGGAATAATAGGCCTTGTCCCTCTAAATACGGCCCAATTTATTGAGTAAGAAATGAATAAATTGGGCCCTTATCCCGCCCAATTTATTAATACTTGGTATTTCGAAATATTTAGATAATAAAAATGAAAATATATAAATGGAAAGGAAACATAAGAAGAAAACAGAAAATTCGCCACCTCGATTGGAGAACCAATTAACGAGATCCAGAAACAGATAAGCATCGCGTCGAATCCGATCAAATCATTCGCCGACTTTAGGGTTTCGCAGAAGGGCGAAGGAAGGAGTAAATATGGCGCTGAAGTTCTTGAACAAGAAGGGATGGCATACCGGCAGCTTAAGGAACATAGAGAACGTCTGGAAAGCAGAGCAGAAACACGATGCCGAGCAGAAGAAGTTGGAGGAGCTCAAGAAGCAGATTCAGGAGGAGCGCGAGCGCTCCGAGTTTCGCCAGCTCCAGGAGGAAGCTGGTCTCGTTCCGTAAGTTTAGATTGCTGGCAAACCTTCCTGCCTTCAATCATTCCGCAAGTTCTTCTAGGGTTAGGGTTTCCGTTTCTCAATTATGAAGTCTCTGCTGATTCAAACCTGTTTTGGTTGTTGGCAGGAGGCAAGAGCGATTGGAATTCCTGTACGATTCAGGACTGTCCGTGGGGAAAGTAAGCGCCAGTTCTTCTTCTGGCGCCGGAGTAGCATTCAAGGAACTCGAAGAAGCTCTTCCTGGCGGCAGCAAGACTTCGGAGGGAGTTGTTCCTCCTTCGTCTTCTTCAGCTGCTGCTGCACCAGGAGCTTTGTTTGAGGACAAGCCTCATTCCGCCAATGACGCCTGGAGAAAACTTCATTCTGATCCGTTGCTTATGATTCGCCAGCGTGAGCAAGAAGCTATCGCCCGCATCAAGAACAACCCTGTCCAAATGGCTCTCATTCGCAAATCGGTATTTTGTACTTTTCTCCTTCCCCTCTTATCTGGATCGAATCAACTTATATATATAGAACAAAAGGTAACACTTTAATTTGCAATGAAACAGGTTCAAGCAGATGGAGAGAACGAGAAGTGTCGTGACAAAAAGGAACTCGGGAAGAAACACCGTCATGGTGATGGAAAGCACAGCAGACGTTCATCATCTAAGCAAAAACCGGATTCAGAAGATGAAGATGATGAGACAGACCGAGTTAGGAAGAGGAATTCTAATAAACACAAGAGCTCAAAGAAACACGAGGATCCGGCCTTAGACGGTGAATCTAATGGAAGAGAAAGCTGGAGAAGTAGGAATGATAGCTCTAGGGGTCTGAGAGACAGGAATCATTCTACTCCTGGTCGGTTCTCTGACAGAAACCAGCGTGAAGAACAAGACTACGAGCGGCCAAAGAGTGATAATAAGAGGTATTCTGATGACCGGCCTGTTCAAAGAGAAAGAGTTGACCATGATTCTTATCGGAACAAGTGGAGGAACCGAGCTCCGAAGCTGTCAGAAGAAGAAAGAGCAGCGAAGCTACGGGAGATGCAGATGGACGCTGAGATCCACGAAGCACGGAGGTGGAAGCGTCTGAAGAAAGCCGAGGAGGAGGACGTAAAGGAAGACACTCGGGCCAAGCAATCTCACAGCGTGAAGAACTTCTTGGATGTCGCGCAGAAGAGTGTTTATGGTGCGGAGAAGGGTGGAAGCACTACCATTGAAGAGAGTGTACGCCGCCGAGCTTATTACTCGCAGGGAAGGTCGGAGGCAAGCAGCGGAAATGCGTTTCGGCGATGATCCATGGATGATAATTCTTCCCGGTCTTTACTCCCTCTGTTCTATCATCGTTTAACAGGTGTGCTTTGTCAAATCTTGTTTGAAGTTGAACCATGTCAGAGTTGTGTAATTGATAGAATTGTATTTCCAACAACTTCTCTATGTGTAATTGATAGTATTGTATTTCCTCCAACCTCCTGATGGCCTCTGTTTCCATTTATGCAGAGGGAGGTATACATTTGTTCGCAATTTTTTTAAGAATATTGTTTGTATTGTTTGATAATCAACTTGTCTGTTGAATGCTGATAATCAGTGTCATAGTGGTAAGTGGTAACAACGTTACCTAAATTGATTTTCGTTATGGTAATAGTTTGTCATAATATGGGGAGTATACCTGGTTGGAGCCTACTTCAGATGAATTCACTTATGGCAGTTAGAGGACAAGAAGTTGGGCAAAGAGATTTACTGTGTGCCGACCCATTATAACGTGGGATGAAAAGGTAAGAATAGATATTTCCGGCTCCCAGTTTAGTCTGTGTTTGAAAGTAAGATTACTGTGCTGAATTACAAATTAAGATGCCTTAAAAAAGGAGTATCCGCAGAACTACCCAACATAATGAAGCGACGAGGGGCAAAATTACAGTTCCATTTGAAACTGTCAGGCTGTTTTAGCTCCTGGGAGTCTACTGCGCGCTTCTCTTCCTTACTGATTACTACTTGCTAGCCACGGGGAGTAGACTAATCCACCGGTACAGTGAAGCAGTCAAAGGGCCACAATTGGAGGCGATTGAATATGAAGAGGGCTGGAGGGTGAATCACTCCCATCAATCTTCTGCCTCTTTTTGGGTCCCTCCCCTTCTGAATCTTTTGCTTTTGATTCAGGTTCAGGATTCTCCTCCCCAGATTCACCAGCACTAGCAGCAGCTGATGCAGCTTTTGCTTCTTCAAACTGAGCTTGAAGCCTCTCGATCACTGCCATCACTTCGCTGTTAATCTGTTTTTCAGACAAGACACAGAAATTAGGAGAGAAAAAGCAGGCAATCCATGCTTTGTATAAGCACCACAATGCAAACCTTTATGTCCTGGAGGAAGTCAGAAATGTCAGTTGGACAACAAGGGCAATTCAGCACATTCTTCTTAGCACGCAGAGCACGGCCAGCTCTGCTTCTCTCCACAGTGAACTGCTTGTTCGGGAATTTCTTCTCCAGGCAGTCCTTACAGAAGTTGTGGGTGCACGGTGTCGTGACTGGCTCCTTCATCACTTGCTTACAGATGAGGCAGTTGAACTCTGCAATTTGTCAAAAGGTGATCGATCAGCAGACGGCACAATGAATCACGTTGAAGTACATGATAAAAAGGAGGGTCCTCCCACCTTTCAGAAGCCTTTCTGTAACACTCTGAGTCTGTGCCTCCTTAATAGCTTTCCTTGCCCTCCTGATCTGGGTAGGATCCGCAGGGTCCACTTTCAATCTGCTCAGCGGTGGAGGTGTCTTCCATGTCCAACGGCTACTCTTTTCCTGCGACCACCAAATAAGCAGTTCAGATCATATGTTTCATCGATTATGAAGACAAATAAAGGAGCTTTCATTAGACTCACGTCAAAGTCCCATGCTGGGTCATCTTTCCTCTCTGTTAAATCTTTGGCCTTCTTCAACTCTGGGATGTTAGGCAATGGTCTAGGCCTGTCACCATGCTCATCACTGTGACACAGGAAACAAAGTTGTAGCTTGTCATAGAGGGAACACTATGTACTGAAACAAGTGCAGCAATTGCAACTGGTTTCATACCTTGTCCATGGTGCAGGCTCGTTGTCACATCTAATGAACAGATACCTACATACTTGAAAACCCTGAGGAGCAAACGGCAATCTATTAGCATAACTATTCAAATGTTTGGCTCTTGTTAGTTGGCATTATGCAGCAAATAATGGATGCCTCACCTGGATTCCAACTTTCCTCCAGCATTTCTCAACCCTATAGACGCCATCATAGCGTACTCCAGCCTCTGGCGCGTAATTTGAGCGTTTTTCCTTGTGCGACCTGGCTCATAGAAATAGTATTATTTGCAAAGTGAAAAGAGCTAGCCTCAGAGCATAACAAGTAAAGAATCGTCACAGGTAGAATGTTAATTTTACACCGCTATAAAGGGAAACCAATAATCTTATAAGGGTGACTAAATTAGCCATCAACCATGCTGCCGCAACATGACATAGTAACTTTGATCACTTCCAACATATGAAACGCATCTCTCGCTTTCAACATAGAGACACCTGCCAATTGCTAGCTGGAGGGGCATCAAACAAACACAAAGGCATTGATGTGAAGGAAAAGGTGGGTAGGTCTTTACCTCACAACTCGAACAGGATATCCTTTTATGCAGCTAAGTCTAAGAGACTGATTTGCTGCTTCAAACTTCTGATCAGACGACTGGTCTTTGTTGGTCCTCTTGTTTCCGCTAAGATCCCTCCCTCCGCTGCCCAAACACACGAGTATTTCACAAAACAGATCAATCAACAAATTAGGAGACCATAAAATTAGTAAATCTGCATCAAAATCTTTTCAAAGTGGAATCATAAGAGCTGGCAAAAATCCAGAATAAAACAAACCTTCCAGTGTACAGAAACCATTCACCATGATCTTCATCGTCTTGATACCCTCCAGAGAGTGCAACGGATTGTGCCCCGAACTCAGCTTGCCCATGGATACCCGAAACATGAGGACGATGGGCCCCCCATTGCCTGCATTCCATTCTATCCTCCCAGCACTCACCTACAAGAACACCCTGATTTCTCTCTGGATCATTCTCAGCAGGGATAGGTCCCAAATGATCCGGAGGCACAGTCACAAATATCTTGCCACTTGCAGCATTGGCCTTGCCAGTCTTCTTAGCCCGCTCAGTCCTGTAAGCTTTGTCAGGTCTGTTCTGGTTGTGCACAAAATGATACACCCTAGCTGGCGCTCCATCCGAGATGAACTTAGAGACCCTAGCCATACGGATAGCCGCGACGAGGGCAGAGTTGATGCGGGGCTGAGCTGCCATCTTCCGGGGAATGTTGGCGCGGCACTTTGCACAGGTGGTTTTTCTTTGCTGCCCTGTCCATTTCTGGAAGCATTTCAAGCAGAAGTTGTGGCCGCAAGGTGTCTGCAAATAGAGAAAGGAACGCCAAATGAGGGATAAAGATTAATATATCGAAGATTAGGGGATTGGGGTTTCGATATCATAACTGCTCATGACTAGATTTGGCCCAGATTTCATTAATTTGTTCAACTCTTCAGTTAATGTGATTCACTGCTTTAGCATTTTAATTTCAGGGAATCCCGTAGTTCTCAGCAATAAACAGCAAAACAAAAACAACAGGCAAAGATACAACTCTATGGGAAGTGCTTTCGTAAATGTAAAACTGCACAAACAAAAGAGTACAGTGCCGTCCAGAAGAAACTTTGAGCATCAATGGCGGGACACTCGGGATGTGGTATTCTTTCGGCGTAGCTAGAGGTCTCGAGTCGGATTAGAAAATGCAGATCTATCAAGTGAGACACAGCCATCCAGAAAAGAAGAACATCGCCAGACAAGGAAGAGATAAACAATAAACGAGACTAAAAGGAAGGAAAAGGAGAAGATTCGAACTCACAGTGACAGGCCTCTCAGGCAGCTGCATGCAAAAGGAGCAATTAAAGCTCTCGCCGAGGAGTTTCAGCGCATCCATCTCAGCACTCTTCTTCCCTTTCTTGTCAGCATCTCCGCCTTCTTTCTCTTCATCATCATCGTCATCGCCCTCCTGGTCAACCTTCTTTCCACCCAACAGTTCCTGTCTCTTCCAAGCCTTTTCCTGCTCCGTCAGCGTCGAATCAGCCTCAATCGCTCTGATCGCAGCCACCAGCTCGTTGCCGGAGGATACCGGAGCAGCAACAGGAGCATCGAGGTTGCAGTCGGGACACTGCCACTGGAGGACGGAAGCCATGGATTCTGGCTTGGAAGACAGGCAAGGGACGTGCCATGGTGCAGCACAGGTGGAACAACTCAGGGTCTCTTCGGCTGGTGGCTTGGCATTGCAGACCATGCAATGGCCGTTGCCATCGCAAGGGAGCTGGATCATGTTGGCCATGGGAAAAGGATGGGAGAGAGTTTAGGGTTTGCGAATTTGGGGGAGAAATGGGAGAGCGGATGTCTGGGGCGCTGACTGTCTGTAGAATTATTTAATGTGTATATATTGATTTTTCTTTTTTTAGGCGTGAATGGAGAGCGGGGAATTTCTCCTATGGAGCAAAACTCGAAGCGCCATCATTTTGAAATTTCAATCGCAGTTCGCAATTACAGTTAAGTCCCTATGGCAGTACTTGGTTCTTACTTTTTTTTCCCTAGAGATATCTCATCGAGGACAGAGCAAATACTACGACAAGAAGATATAATACACAAGATATTTGCAGGTCAAGTTGCACAGAAAAATGAAGTAAGAGCCGCTGGTTGGTCACAAACAATCCAATGATGCGAGGGTTTCTTTTAGGGCTCGTTTGCTTGTTGGATTTGAAAATGAAGGTTTTGAGTTTTAAAAACCTTTGGATTTATGATGGATTTGTTGCATCATGGATTTGGAAGAGTACATTATTTGTTTAGTTGATTTTTTATCATGGATTTGTGATGGATTTGTCTCACATTTTTTCCTTCTATTGTCAAATCCCAAATGAAATGTGGGATTTACAAATCCGTGGGGTCCACGGATTTGGATCTAAAAAAGGGGTCCAAATCCGTGGACCCCACGGATTTGTGTCCCTCAACAAACAAAGAATTTGTGTCAACTCCATGATGCTTGGGATTTGGGTTCCAAATCCATCACCCAAATCCCACAAGCAAACGTTACGAAATGGACAGCTCTATTATAGTTATGCGATGTGAAATGAAACCAGGCACGCAGTAAAAGGAATGTAAAACATGAACATAAAAAATGAGGCTTTCACCAAATGCGTGCTTTGAATCCTTCAAGTTAACCATGCATGTTGTCTCTTGAGAATCACCATAGAATAAAAAGTTAGTTACTCAATGTGGGAGGCATCACATGAGAGCATCCATACATGCAAGAAGCTCAATGATTGATGGTTTCAATATAATCATAAAAACGCTCAAACCATCGGAATGACCACGTGTGCATCGCCACAAACTAGCTAGTCTTAAAAATATTGAGACAAACTCCAACGAAAAGCATCTAAAAAAGCTAAGAGTTCAATGACAAATTGGTCAAAGATATCTTAACTAGCTGCACGACGACAACCTAGAACCGTCATAAATTCTAGGCGTCAATTTCCCTTATAATAGCTTGACTAGTCGGTATAGTCAGATCTCAATTTCGTAAAAATATTTGCGTTGAGATTTCAATAGACGAGTGTTACCTACGTAGGTGACTCTTCAATCTTCTGGCTACACCAAAGAGAGGGAGGCCTTGTCTTGAAAGATCTCGTATCTTGGAATGTTGCAGGTTTAGTTTTGTTGTTGTTCATGCAGGGTGGCAGTTTCTGGGTCGCATGAATTACATCACATAGACTTAAGAATCATTCCTTTTGGGAGCTTAAGCTAACTGGGATAGGTTCATGGATTTGGCGCAAAATGTTGAAGTTGCGTTCTTGGTTCCAGTTCAGGTTGTCCACTGATTCTCAAGGTATAGAATGTTGGGAAGGGCAGCCGATGCCAAAGTTTTCAATTAAAACGGTTTGGAAGTCTATTAGAGAGAAGAGACTAGAAGTGCATTGGTGGAAAGTATTGTGGGGTAAGTTCACAATTTCAAAATACAAATTTATTGTCTGGTTAATCATCCTTAACCGAATCAAAACTCGAGACGAGCTGAAGCTATGGAAGGTGATTGTTGATGATCAATGTGTGTTGTGTGGTTTGCAAAGTGAGACGAGGGAACACTTGTTATGTGAGTGCAACTATTTTCTTGATTTTGTTGCCTCTCTTTTTGGCGGTGGCTTTAGATTACCTACAGATTGGCAGCAGATGATGGAAGTTATAGGGAGCTGGAGTAGAAAGACTGAAGGGTTGGTTCTTCGCTCTTTGTGGTGTTGGGGAGTTGGGATGCTTTGGAAGGAACGTTATAAGAGGGTTTTTGGAGAAGTAGCTCGCAGTGCGAACTCTTTAGCCTGTGTATTAAAGAAGGAAGTTCGCTTTTACATGTTGGTTAACCACGAGTTATTACATCTTGTATGGCTTTAAAGTCAAAGTACTTTTTTCGACTTCTTGTATTGTTTTAGCCAAGAATGAGCTTAATAGAAAATGCTAATTACCGGGGGAATCATCATTGATACAAAGTGAAATAGTTATTGTTCCTCTCCCCCGTTTCTTTCCGTTTTCATGAAAAATTCACAAGGCCTTCTTTGTAAGTTGTATTAATAATATTAGAATAAATAGCACATTTGATAATTAATATTACTAATTTGTTTCACGTTTGTCACTTAAAACATCTTATTAGTGGCCACTATAATTAATCCAACATTCTAATCTTTGTCATTGATTGTCAACTTCTATTAATGTCGTTAGTTTTTTTTTATAACATGGCTTATGGAAATGCCAAGTCACCGAAATTAAACCATAAAAATTGAAAACCCGACCCGCCACGTAAAAAAACTCAACTCAACCTCACCGCACAATTTCTATAAATCCAATCCTTTGTCGCGCCTCTTCTCTCTACACCCCTCCTCCTATCAGTGGCGTAGCCAGGATTTTACGCAAGGGGGTGTCATTTTCTTAATTAAAATAAATATATCTTATATGTGAAATTATTAATCCTATGCAGACTCACAACGTTTTTCCACTATATATAAATTTTAAAATATATGTTCTTCGTATAAACTATCAAAGATATTATTGTCAATATATATATCCTACCAAATGATTCATGATTTTGCTTGTCATTCCATCCATAGAGAGTTACGTTAAAGTCAATCTAGTGATTATGGATAGCCGAGGAACATAGATTGGAATGAGATGGTAGAGGTGAACGACTTAGTAACCACGTTTGAGTGGACAGTTAGATATTGGACGCATAGTAGTGTTGTGGGAGGTTAAGAGTCACCACAATTTAGATTTAACTATTATCTAAAACATCAGAGATTGAAAAGATTGAGTTAATCATATATGAATTTTATTTTATTCGTGTACAAACTATAATATAGTTTATATAATTAAAGATAATTTAAATGTACATCCTTAATTTAGTTTGATGGTAGAAATAATTAAGTACAAGGAATAACCTTCTATATTCAAGTTCCATTGCAAGCAACCTACTATATATACCAATTTTTAACCCTTTCTCCAATTCAAGGGTGTGCAGGGGCACCGCCTCGCTACACACTCCCTCCGCCCCTGCCTCTTTTACTTGTCGCGATGGCTTCCCAAATCATAATACAAACCCCAATTCCTTCTCATTACCAAAAGTAACCCTACACGTTCTCAAAATCCTCAAATTAATCAAGCCTCCCTTCGTCAAGTCGGTAGCACATGCCTGGCCCATAACCAGGTTGATCTCTTCATTGTCTTCTTCCACACTACTGACCCCATTAACCAAAACTGCCATGGCTTTTAATGAAATGCGTCAAGTGAAGCCATCGAGGAATTAGAGGCGGAGGACACCATGCACGGATGCAAGGGCGACGGTGGGGGTGTTGAATAAGAGGTTATGTTGGTTGACGATATTGATGTGGAATACGACAATCATTGATTTGAATTTGGCGCGTGCGGCAAAAAGCCTTAGCTTGACCTCCACCTCCATTTATACCACAATCATTTGTTTGAAAATTTAAAGGGGAGTGGTTTATCGTTGAGATTTGGCGGGCGGGGTTGTTGGTGAGGCTGCATTGGGTGTGGTCGAGGAGTTGGGCGAGAGCATCGCCAACAGTAGGCATGGCGATGTCATCGACACAGTTGCGGGCTTTTTCAAAATGGAGGATTGGATTTCTATAAAGGGTCAGGTCACAGGTTGGATTGGATTTTCTTACATTGCGGGTTTTATGACTTGTCGGGTCAGTTTAATTTATCCCTTGTTAAATTTGGGTGACTTGGCATTTTCGTCAGTCGCGTCATAAAAAACTGACGTCATTAGTGACCAAAATTGAAATATTGGATTAATTATAGTGATCACTATTGGAATAAAAAAAAAAGTAGAAACAGTGCATAAATTAGTAATCTCGATGACCAAACATGCTATTTGCTCTAATTATATTTTTAATATGGTAGACATTATGGCGTACTCTAGCAACTACGGAGGCACTCAGACTAAGAGACATTGAGGCGTTGTCCATGTTTATAGTCTGTTGGGCGTCGTTTGAAATGTTGGAGCATATGTTATTGTTTTCCCAATAGTGTTGGAGTTGTGGCAGGCTTCTGACTTTGGTTAGTCCGGGAGGAAACCAATGACCAAAATTTTATCATATTATAAGAGCTACGTGGATGCGTGGTCCCTCGCCAAAGATAGTGGTGAGACTGGTGGGTCGGTGGTAAGCGACACAGGTGGGTCGGTGTTTTGTCCAAGGGGATTACGTATAGGGATGTGATTAATCTATTTATTGTGTAGCTATTGAGTATTGGTTGCGGGATACATTGATTACGACTTGGACTGCATTATATGGAGCTCATATGACATGTGGAAGTCGTTATTGAGCGTATAGATTTGGTGATGGTTCGAGATGGCCAGGAATGGGTGCATTGGAGGAGCAGGCTCAGTTTATGAATGACCATTCGGGCTTTAATGTTCGGTTTGTTGATATGGATAACAATAGGGGGGCTAAGAAATGCACTTGCTTTGTTTCCAACCTCTACAATATGTTCCGATTTTGAGATTGGCTTCATTTGAAGGTTAACATTTTTATCTTTAATTGATGTGAAGAATTATAATTTTCATTGTGATGAAAATAAGAGAAAAATTGGAAGTGGTGAAGTAGTATTGAAGAACGGTGGTGTGTTTGTAGAGGAAATTGAAGAAGAGAAAAATAGATGTTGGAGACATAAATAGCTGTTAGGAAGAATTGGGGGCTAAAAGTGCATTTTTTTTAATCAGCAACGGTCACATCCCACGCCCACCCGCGCGTCAAACGCAAACGCGAGCTACACTTATGTATTTGTTGGTGCGTGCGTCCCGACGACGAAGATCTCCGGGGTGGTCGGTGGTGGGGCTTCAGCAGTTTAGCATTCCTTGTCTTTTGTGTCCAAATTAATAAATTACATCAAAATGTTCATCTTGATTATTTATTACTATCCATATAAAAATAATGAATAAATTATATAATTAAAATCTACATTAAACTAGATTAGGAGCCAAAATAAATTTTGACACTTTACCGTTCTAGCACTTCTTATTGGAGCAAAATACACTTTATGGGAATAAAATTAGTAATATTAATACACAAGTTAAATCACTGTTGCATACGATAATTTCGCTTCTCCTCTCCACATCACTATTCATAAAAGGCTGAAATTCCATGCGGCTAGACCCACAACACCACAGTGTACCCACAAGGCCACAAATCCGTTTCCTGGATACTTCCATACAATTAATTATGTGTTGGGTAGGCCAAGTCAGACTTCTCTATTCTCTAACCAATGCGTTTTGGGAGAAGTAGGATACATGAGAATTGAGATCGTTGTTGTGGTTAGCTATGATTATAAATAATGACGTAGCCATGATTCAATTTAAATTGGATCATGTTTACGAATAATTTTATAACATTTTATTCATATATAAAATCAAGTAGTTTTGTCCTATCCTACAAAAAAAAAATAAGTAGTTATTCATTAAATTATCAATTAATCAATTTTATCATAATCTCTTTATCCCATAATCAGTTGTTTGCGTAACTTTTTGTTTTTCATCTCATACATTCAATTTCACCGTAAGATTTGTTTCCTTTAGATAACTATCTCTTTACTTTTTCATTCCACATCACGAAACGTAAAACATAAGTCTTTAGTACTAAGATGATACATGAACTTTATGGAGGGATGGTAATATCTATCAATTAAACAAACATATTATATAAGTCTTTCATGATATATGTTTGAGTGAAAATTCATAAATTATTAACTAAACTGTTGAAGATCTCATCAATTTGAATGTCAAAAAAGTTATGTTAGATCAGACATAACAGTTCAATTAGGTGTGATGCTTTCATCAATTTGCATTTATGCCAATTAAAGATTGGGTAAGAGAAGTTAATCTTACATAATAGTTTAATCAAATGTGAGATTTATTTGTACCTTAATTTTATTATTAGACCATAGATTATGTAAGATTGCATAACAATGTGCTATAACAGTATTGAAATACATTGCGTAAAATTTATGAAGGCTGAAGGGATATTTATGTCTTATGTGTCAATCAAACAAATGTACGATGTAAGTTTTCCATAATAATTAAAACACAAAATTAATGGAAGCATGTACTCAAACTATTTTTTAAATAATTTTATGTCTTACCGCCGCGAAGCACGGGCCAAAAAAATAGTATCATATATAACCTCAATTTTTATACACTTTTAGGATGTTTACTGAAGATTATATTCGAGAGACTTATCCTATATCATATAATTCTTGCACTCTATCAGAGTTGGTCTAAGTCTAACTAACAAACAAAATGTGAAAGCTATAAATTAAAATGTCTCACCTCCATTTCAGTTTACTAGTGTAACGTGCAATGCATATCACCATCTCAAGTGTCAAACTCCATCCAACCCCATAACTAATCCCAAATGGGGCTTTGGGTGACAGCATTCAATTCCCACTTTCCTCCCAACTGTAATCGTCTAATAACTATCACCATTATTGAATTGCCTATTTTGAGAACTCAGATTCCTTTCCTCCACCACATCCTCTCCCCCCTATCAATCTCTCTTTCTCTCTTGCATCAGTTGTTCGAATGTCAAATCACTAGCCATCATGTCTCATGTCACCATCTCTACTTTCTGTACTAGAATTACCTTACTAGACAAAAGATTAGTCCTCAATTTATCTTGATTACTTTCACGTGCAAAGTCTTTTTTCCCAAATCGTATATTCAAAATTGGGATTTCGTTGGGTAAATATAGGCATTTCGTCATAATATCATTAGTTATACTTACTAGACTAATGATTTATGGTGACATGATAATTTTTTTTGTCTAGTTTTACCACCTGCCAACCACGTCTAATTTGTTAATACATTGACATAACCACAACTTTTATGTTAATGATTAGACAACCATTTTTTTCAACATTAAAAATCTCCACTATTGTAAATCATTTTCCCTCCCCAGTGACCAACGTCTCAAATACCGGCTCTTTGAGCACCTGAGAATTGAGAATGTCAACTTCCGCATATTTTTTCATTTTGAAAACATGACTATATTAGTCATTAGTATGAGGTCTTTAACATGTAATTTGTGCGGTTGTTGATCATGTTTATACTTTATAGCAAAAAATTAAGAGTGCTACTCTATCTCACTGAACTCCGTCCCCTGCTTCCAAGCCAAAACTCATCTGTGCAGGATCGCCCAATGTAATATTGAGAGGTATAAAAGTAAGCAATAAATCACATACTTTCTTGTCCATTAACTCCAAATTAACCACAAGCAACTCAATGACTGCGTACAGGTGCCACTCTTTTATTGTCCGTTGAAGAATCAAATGCGGTATTCTATAAATATAGACGCCCAACCCTGAATACTATTAAGCTCTCCACGCCATTAAGTGAAAAACGAACGTACATGATGAGGAAGCATATTCTACTAGCTTCACTGTTCATCACTCTCCGTCTCCTCATCCCATCCCCTCCCTCTGCAACAGCTTCCCCTCTCCATAAACGTAATTCTCTGGTTTAATATTTGTACGAAATCCTATACTAGTGATTATAGCTAGCTTGATGATATTATAACACGAAACTAATTAACTCTTGTATCTTTTGTTTGGTGATGGATCCATGGATCAAATCGGCAGGAAACACCGACACCCGGCTTGAAATATTCCCCCAAGTCCACAGCTGGGATCACTCACCGCTCGCCGAAATCCTCACCCGCGACCAGCAGCGCGTTGAGTCCCTCCGCCACCGAATCGTTATGGGCGGCAACAACAAAAGCCAAACCCCGCCGCTTCTTCCCACCAACACCGGATCATCGTCAATCCCACTCACTTCCGGTCTCTCCATCGGGTCAGGCAACTACTACGTGAAACTCGGGATCGGATCCCCGGCCAAATACCACGCGATGCTGATGGACACGGGGAGCTCTCTTTCGTGGATGCAGTGCAAGCCCTGCGTCATCTACTGCCACTCCCAGGCCGACCCTGTTTTCGATCCCTCTGCTTCTTCCACCTACTCCAAGCTATCCTGCGCCACGCCTGAGTGCTCTTCGCTCAAGGCCGCCACGTTGAATGATCCAGCCTGCGAGGCTGATTCCAATGCTTGTATCTACACTGCGAGCTACGGTGACGCCTCCTATTCCATCGGCTACCTTGGCAAAGACGTCCTCAACCTTTCCCCTGCAGCTGGCTCTGGCTCTGGCTCGCAGCAGAGGTTTACTTTCGGGTGTGGGCAGGATAACCAAGGCCTCTTTGGCAGGGCTGCTGGGATTCTTGGATTGGCGCGCGACAAGCTCTCCTTCTTATCCCAGGCATATATACACTTAGATTAGATTATACTAGTAACAATTCAGCTATATCTAGCTTTGAGAAATTCAATTTGATGCTTGCTTACTGACTGCTGCAGGTAGCTTCTAATGGCTTCTCGTATTGCCTCCCGACCGCAACTCCAGCGGCGTCATCCTCCGGTGGAGGCTACTTATCACTCGGCAGCTCCGCCTTGTCATCCCTACCCTACAAATTCACACCGATGCTCACCGATCCCAAAAACCCTTCCCTCTACTTCCTCGACCTCACCGCCATCACTGTCGCGGGGAAGCCGTTGCCGGTCAGCCCAGACTCCTACAGAGTCCCAACGATTCTGGACTCCGGGACTGTGATCACACGAATCCCCGCCGCCGCCTATACGGCGCTGCAGGCCGCCGTGGTGAAGGCGGTCTCGGGGAAGTTCGCTCAGGCTCCCGCGTATTCCATACTGGAGACTTGCTTCAAGGGGAAGCTGAGCGAGATGGCGGCGGCAGTTCCCCGGGTCGGGCTGGTGTTCCGGGGCGGGGCGGGCTTGGATCTGCTGCCCCGGAACCTGCTGGTGGAGGTTCCAGAGGACGGGATCACTTGCTTGGGCTTTACCAAGAGTCCCACAATTGCCATCATTGCCAACCGTCAGCAGCAGACGGTCAACGTGGCCTACGATGTTGCCAACTCCAGGATTGGCTTCGCTCCCGGTGGCTGCCATTGATATACCGTATACGTGCTTAGCTAGCTCTACCTAGCTAGCTAGTAATTGCTCGCTTAGCTGTTGCTTGAGCGACTCGATCGTTACACCATTGTACTCATAATTACCAAGTCTACTTGTTTACCATGTTACTTTTACTTGTATGAAGAAAGCAAAAGAAGAACAATATCGGGAAAAAATCGATCTAATATATGAGATTCGATTGTACATATTTATAAATTAGGGTAAGCATTTAGTAAAAATTGTACATTGAATTGTACAATTTTGATGTGGAATCTTTTCAAAGCATATTCGCCCTTTATATGTGGTATCAGACGAGTTTTAGCACTTTCATATTATGTATCGTACTCGTTAATGAAAGGAAAGTTTTGAGCTGTAAATTATCGGAATAATGACATCTATACAGACGGTCTTTAAAATAAACTAATTATCCTCTAATTTACAAAAATACCATTCTTTATACAATTATTATATCAAAGCGTTTTGGTCATCCTAAATTTGGGGTGCTACTGCTACCTTTGCGTTCGGATCCTACATGGTTATAAAATATACATATAAATATTGTTTGACTTAGGATACAAAACCCATTAGTTTGTAGTCCTACAACATTTACATGAATGATTGAGATTGAGAGGAAAGAGATCTAATAACCGTATTTGTAAGGGTAAAAAGAAAGGGTAGGAATAGGGGACAAGGCTTACTGGATTTGGAAAACAACTGACCGTATTTTGGGGGACTTGTGTGGATTCTCTAATGGTTGTTAAGACATGTTCAAGTCTCCTACGAAAATTCAATCGGACCTTAACTTATTCTTTTTATATTTGATTTCAGAAATCTTTGCATAGAAAAACCATATTTTTCGTGTTCTACAAGATAATATCCATTTTGATATTTTTTGGAGCAAAATTTTTCATGTCATAATGGTATGGTGTTGATATAATGGTGGTTCAATGTCGATATGATGTTGGTATGAGGTCTTAAATTTGACAAAATAATTTATTAGCATCATATCATTTTCATATTACTATATTATCACTTGGTCTTATATTTGACAAAATATAATATAATAAATATCATTATGTAGATTTTAATAGATGATGGTGGTATGGCAATAATATGATGCTGGTATGAGGTCTAATTTTTGAAAAAAATAATTTGATGACATCATATCAGTGTCATATCATGATATTGTCATTATACTGATGTTGGTATGAGGTCTTATGTTTGACAAAATAGGAGAAAATTGATATCAGTGTGTATATATTAAGTAATGCATTCTTTCTATACATTTTGTTTTAAATTTGAGTTAAAATTGAATGATATGGATCATCATACCACTTTCATATCATGATGATATGATAGATATGAGAGTAATAATACTACAATCGACACGTGTTTTGAAAATATATTTTTTTGCTCAAAACATATCAAAATGGATAAAATTGTGTATAAGACCTGATTAAGAAAAATAGGAGATTATGAAAAGTGTATTCTCTCTTGATCCGTGTCAGAGTGTCGGAAAAATAACAAAGGGTGGCAAAATTACCAGTCCACCCTTCCTACTTTTTCTGTTGCGAATTAATCTAAGTCATGAGCTGGTGAATGTGATGGAGAGTGGATGATAAGGTTTCGCACAATAGGATTTGTATCCTATCCTTTCCCTACAAATATATTATAGTTCGACTAGATATTAAGTTTGCAAGTTGGACTGTTGAAATTACTCGGATATTTAATTTCCAAGAAATATCTAGTCAAATCATTAAAGGCAAATAGATAAAAATGGATTCATGATCATAAATCGTTAGGAGATTGATGTAGAATCCGTAGAACTGTTTGTGATCGAATGGTGCCTCCAAAAGCATGACGTTGGAGGTTTTGTGGTCTTACTCAACCAAACCTTCTCAGTGCCTCTTAATGAGATTCGAACTTATTCCTCATGAGAGAATATGTGTATATTTAGGTCTTGGTGTATTGGGGACTACAATCTCTAAACTCTTTATATACTACGTTAGCTATGGTCCCTATGAAATCCTAATTAAGTTTAGTATCTGGTTTCCATCAACCGGATCCATATTGGATATTGAGTAGTTTTGGGCTTCATAATCTTTGAATACTTATAATTAGCACAGTTTATAACTAATATAACTATTTGAACTCAAAGACATTTCCTATGTATACACATAAAGTAAAAGGCGACTACTGATGTTAGCAAGTGAGTAAAAAAAAAAAAAAAACTCCAACCCATATATCGTATGTGGAAATCAATTTTCCAACAATCTCTCATTTGGACTGCATGTTTTCTACAAATATTTATATAAAAAGTACTTTAAGCGCACAACCAAATGTTATTTGTACAATGACCACTCCTTAACATTTTGTCTGCCTCAAGTATAATTGTAGAATCAATGCGGCTTTAATCACGATACGATAATGATTAAACCATCATGATCACTATATTTATACACTCAATTATATAGATCAAACATGAATGACATGAAAGTTTCATGTAATGTGATATTGAACTGTGAACATGCATATTTTCACATGTTCCAACTTAGTGAGATCAACAAAAAATACTTCATGCAACATGAATGTTGCATACATAAAAATAAATACCTTAAAGTTCAAAAGATAAACAAAAAAATCATTTTATTTTGCATAATTATAATTCAATGTCTATAGAACATACACAAACGATCCCTATCATCCAAAATGATGCCCATATGAGTGGTGTTCTCATACAGTGTTGTAGGGAATAAACTTTTGGTTAATAAATCAACTAGCATAGACTCAATCCAAATATGTTATATAGAAATATTTTTTTTTGAACCACTCCGTAACAACCAGGTACATCACGTCAATAAATTTTGACCATGTCAAACTTTTGTTACTATTAGAGTACCACATTGCTGTATTATTTTCACATAAATTTTCAATTGCCTCTCAATATTGTTTACCACACACAACCCCATGACAAATTTTAGCAGGCATAGTCATGATTAAATGCCTCGTAAAGGGCATGTTATCTTGACACCAAACCGCCACGATCCATGCGGTTTGCAAAACCGCCCCCTACTAGTGCGATTTTCATCGAAAAACGCGCTCTTGAGTGGCGGTTTTCGCCTAAACCGCTGGTACGAATAACGGTTTTTAAAAAATGGTGCTATTTTTGAAATTTTTTGAAGTTGAGTGCTATTTTTGAAAAAAAAAATAAACAATGCTATTTCTGAAAAAATTCCTCATGTGTTGGGCGGGCCTAGTATGCAGCGAAACCTTTAGCTGGGCCCAAACAAACAACTCTCCTCATAAGAGCTGAGATAAGTGAAGTGAAGAAAGAAATGCAGTAAGAGTGTAAGACTGAGACCTAGACAATGACGATGACGTTGTTCAGTGGCAGAGCCAGTGGCTACTACTGCTGCTCTTCCTCGTTCACACCGTCCTTCATCCAACCTGTCAAGAATATTAATAATGCTGCAGCCAATCCCCTACCAAACTCTCCTCCACCTCCTCCTTCCCGCCTTCTTCTCCGTTCGTCCGCTGCCGCCGCCGCCACCTCCTTCGGCTGTTTTCCTCTTCGAGCTGCAGTCTCCGTAGTCAGCGATGAATACGCGTATCCTTCGCCCTCTCCATCCGCCCCTGGTTTCGATTCCGTCACCCGCCGCCTCATTCTCCTCCGCCATGCTCACAGTTCCTTCACACAGCCTACCTTGCGAGGTTCCTTTCTTCCTTCTTCTGTTGCTCGCATCGCATGCGTTTATCCCACAGTTATTCTGTTCAATTTTCTAATTTCTTAATTCGTCTTCTCATTCAGACCACGATCGTCCGCTTACCTCAACTGGACAATCTGACGCCGCCAAAGTCGCGCTTAAGCTTCAACAGCTTGGTTGGATGCCTCAGCTCATCTTACTAAGGTCGGTCTTCCTTTTCCTCTAGGGTTTCTTACTTTCCTATTCCTTCGCAATTTCCATCGTCGCCGCTATTCATTACTATCTTCCTTCTTTACCAACTGATCACTTATCAGTGACGCCGCGAGAACTAGAGAAACGCTCAAGATAATGCAGGAGAGCGTCCCGACATTTTTGGATGCAGAGGTTCGTTTCATCCCCAGCTTCTACTCCATCGCAGCCATGGATGGGCAGACTGCTGGGCACCTCCAGCTCTCCGTCTGCAAGCATTCAACCGACGACTTACTCACCGTCATGTAAGTGAAATGTGATAGACGCATAACGCATTGAACAAGTGGGAAAAGAAATGCCCGTCCCCATTGATAGCCTTGCTTCCATTCCGTTGAGGTATTGTAAATTTTGTATGCAGGTGCATGGGACATAATAGGGGATGGGAGGAAGCGGCATCTATCTTTACTGGCACCACAGTTGAACTCAAGACCTGCAATGCTGCTTTGCTTGAAGCTACTGGAAAATCTTGGGAAGAGGTTACCTTACTTTCTCCCTTATGGTTCTTCGTCTTCTTCTTCTTTGTTGGGCGATCAAAACTACATGGGAATGATGTGCTTATGCCTATTAGGGTATTCAGTTTTGCGAAGGTTTCCTTGTATCCGAAACTGTAAACGAGGCTTGGGAAATTTGGTATTCTGAAAGAGGACAGGAAGCCAGAGACCTTGTAGAGCACTATCTGTTCATTAGAAAGTAGTAAACCAGACAGACATCGGTCTGGGGCCTGAAATGATATGCAGACTTGGGCATTGTTCTTGCTCTTTTTCCCTGAAAGCTCTCATAAGGGTTCTCATTGCCATAGGGTTGACACATATTCAGACTTACAAAGAACTAGGCTTTGCACTGAGAGGTTTTTTCTTCCTTTTATGGAAGCTCCCATCTGGAGTTCTAGTTCTTCCCACACCATCAAGTATCCATTAGCTTTGAGATTTCCCTTCTTCAATGTGGCACCAGCATGGAGTTCCTAGTTTGATCCTTATATACTAATCATGAGGTTCACTGGTACTGCATTCTCTAGTTCATAGGCGATAATGGATGATTTATCAGTGATAGACCTACTTCTATTTCACATTTAGCTTGGAATAACCAAATCACAGTATGGATTCCTGAGACTTAGCAGTTCCTTCCATTCCCTAGTTGCAAGTTTTCTTTCCATAGAATATCTAATTTCATATCAGCATCAAGAGCAGGACATTTGGGGACCAGTTTAAGGAATTAGAATTGCATGGGGGAGGTAAGATTTCAACAGCTAGAAATAGGTTCCTTCTGGAGTGCTCTACCTTAGCTGCCTTGTTGAAGGGGCTATGGGATTAAATATGCTGCAATTAGTTTAATGGGCACTGAAAAAGGCAAGGTTACCCTTCCTAGGAAGGAAGCAAGTACTTACAGGCTCTCCTCTTTTCAAATGCAGTTGACTAGA